TTTGACCATTTTAATGTCAGTGTCCAAAATGCTGCTGCAGTCTTTTCTTCTTCCGATTTTTCCAGAATTTTCCTCGCAGCATTTTCCTTGGGCTATCTCGTTTCCATGGATGATTCTTTGTTTGCGCCCCTTTTCAATTTGGCCTTGGCAGCAAAGGGGCAGCAAGGGATATATTTTTGGGGGGTGCAGACAGATAGCAAAGGACTTTCCATCCTGACGCAGGCAAATATTGTCTTTGCACAGTCGCATCTTTGACAGTCGCAGTCGCATTCTTAGCCCGACTTTTCTTCTTATTTTACTCCCTTTTTTCTGCTCCCGATTATTTTTCCCTTTTCATCATTTTTGGCCCCAACCTTTTTCCTAGTATTTTTGTCACGAATTCAATAAATGATTTTTAAGCACGTTTTTATTACTTTTGCTTGTTGCTGCACACGACTTTTCAGGCCTGCGTCCCTGTAATTTTTTTGCACCAACTTCCCTAAATTCCTTTACTTACTTCAGAAATGCTGCTGTTATTTATTGGTTAGCATGGGATTCGAGCGCCAGGAAGGGGAAAGAAAATGGGTAACCGTATGGCAAGTGGAAAGCGGAAAATGGGCAAATGTGACTCGCAATTTCCAGAGAGTTGTTCTGAAAATGCGTGTGCATGACTCATATCTAAGCGTCGAGACTTGTTACCAAAAAACAAAAAAGGGGAAACAAAATAAAACAGAACCAAACAGCGTTCACTCCTTACAAGAAAATGCACTTTGCTAATGAATTGAATTGTCTTCGTACAGCTCGAGTCTTGGACTTCCGTCGGGGTCTTTGCGTTTTCCCTATAAATGCGGTCACTTCCTTTTAACAACACTGTTTGAAAGATTATACAAAACAATTCATGAAAATATGGCAAAAAAACATTTAGTCTAGTTTACAAAATTAAAATTTTCTTATTTTATTTATGAGACCCTTTTGAAAACTCACAAATATAATTTTAGATGTCTTTTTTGTGATTAAGCAAATTAAAAAATCGTATGAGTAAGAATACCATATTATTCATCTAAAATATATTCCGTATAATTTAGTCATTCCTTTATTGCATCCAAAAGGGGTATTTAATTCTTCGTTCTAAGCTTTCACCCATTGCTTTTACCCTTGTGTGTGGTCAAAGTTATGTTTGTTGAGGTCAATTTGGAATTGTTTCGACTGCCATTTTAATTGTAATTACCAACGAACGCTTGGGTTAGTTTTTCCCGATATTTGCCCATTTTCTTTGCAGCAGCTTTAAGGTTTTTTGACGCTTTTGTTGCAACTGCTAAATGCGCATACGTTTTGGCCATATCAATAAATCATTGAGCAGACAGCGTTAAAAGCACTCTGTGTGTGAGATTCAGTGGCGTGGCAGCCGCAAGTCGCAGCCCCCATTGGGGGTTAGCATACCCCCACAGCCCCCTCGTCCTTGGATATGGATATAGATAGATATAGACGGCACGGCATATCAATATTCCGCATAGACGGATTGTATTTTCAATATTTGCGCAGCGGCAAGAAGAATGAGCAGAAGAATAAACTCCAGTGGCTCACGAGGGGGGATTATGGGGGAAAAGGGGGGCAAAAGTGCCAGTGACAGCAAGGCAGTGTGCCTCTATCACACGGTATTATTTAAAAGGTATTCGAAATAATATTGGTAAATAATGTTTACTAAATATTCCAAAAAGGGAATAAGAAAAAATTAGAATATATTATTATTATTATTATATTTATATTATATTTGTTAATTATTATTATTTAGTTCTTGAATATTTAAAAAAGAGTTCATCGAACTTCTTAGATGTTGACATTCCACAACTTAAAAATCTATTGTCATGAAAATACGATAAATATTCGGTGTCATACAGTCATAAGCAGTGCGATATCCGTGGCGGAGATGGGTGGCGAAAAGGGGGGTCGGTTGGGGTCCATCGACAGCGGCTTTTGTTGGTTTTGTATTGCAATGATTTAGCAGTTTTTCGTCTGTGTTTACGCTGTGGATAAGGTTTGACGGCGTCGATTGTCGTGAGCTCTCTTGTTCGCCAAACCCCCTTCCTTTCTGGGCCGCTCCACCCGTCTCTTTCGTGGGCCCCCCCCTTCGGTTGCATAAGAAATCAGCAAATTGTTGTGTTTTAATCGAACCCTCCTCCCCCTATTTCTTTTTTTTTTCAAAATTAGGGGGGCATTTTCTATGGCAGACAATGGACGGCGGTGCGCCAATGATCTAGCCGTCTCTCTCTGGCCCCCGTAGCCCTGTCTCTTTCTCTTTCTCTTTCTCCCTTGGAACACATATTAAGCCGCAGACTGCATTGAATTGCCGAGTGATCAATATATACACAATGCAGCGATGCTGCAATGCCAGCTACTTGTGTAAATAACTGTCAGCCAATTGTTGTTTAATCGCCAGCTTAGCCCCGTTCTCTATCGGTCTCACTCCCTCCCCTAGCCCCGTCTCACTCTCGCCCCTTTCAAACCAACTGATTGTGAGGTTAAGTGAGATGACGGAGCTTTAAAAAACCCAACGGGAAAGTAGTTCAAATCCAATATGTTTTATGTTTACTTATGAACTTTACATTCTATTTTAAGCAGCGACCGAAAATAATCATTATTTGTGAGTTTTATTTTGGAAAGACTACTGTGATTCTTACTTTTACATGTCAAAAATGCCACTATTTTTACTCTTCTTCACGAGGGCTTTTTAAATAACCCAACTTGAAGAGAAACTAACAACCTATTTACTCTGGCCCGCAATGTATCTAAAAATCAGCCAAATTGGAAAAAGAAATACCAAAATATCTTAGGAGGTCATATAAAATAAAAATCACAAATAATGATTATTTACGGTCCCTGATTTTAAGTGCCTTGAGTGTTGCTAATTTGGTTTTAAACAAAATAAATGTATTATAAAGTTTAAATAAAAATAAATAAATATCAACACTGCTAAAGTTAATCTCTCTTATAGTTGATTTTCCTCAATTCCCGAATAGCCGAACAAAGAAATAAAAATTCTGCGAATGGGAGCCGTGTTTTTTACGAAGCGAAGCATAAATCTGATGGCTAATTAGTTGCACATTTTACATTAATTAATTTTCATGGAATATCTCTCTTTTTTTTATTATTTCGGATGGAAAGTTTTGTCATAAGAAATTCCACAAGGCATTAGCGACAGCCGACGCCATCGCTGCACTTTCCATCCACCGCCTTCCCCTCACAAAATTCCTATTGGAGTGGCGTCTGCCTTTGATCCTGTGGCCCGGGCTAATTGGATTTAGTTAGAGCTAATAAAAACGTTTACAAAAGAATTTTATTTTTACTGCAAATTGGCCTAAAATAATTATTTTTGCTTGAACAACAAGAGGAGCTATGGAAATGGATTGATGGAGTATTTACACACCCATTAATATTGTTCCAAGTGAATCGGAAGTAAGTCTTTTTAGTTTTGCTCTTTAAATAAATATAGATGTAAGGATGTATTTAATTTTATATACTTAATTTTATATACTTGCCAAAGCTTTTTTCTTTTATTTTGCTTAACTGAAATGGCAAGTGGTAAATATTTTTTATTTGTGCAAATGTTAGTTGCCATCTCTCCAACTTATTTCTATATAAATATTGAATTAGTAATTGATTATTCTCAAAAAAAATATTGAATATGCTGGTAATAAATATTTTTGATGTAAATAATCAATAACTAATTAAATATTTATACTGCAGAAAATATGTAATATTTTTTTAGATACATCCTTGTACGAACGGTTTTTACCTTATCCAATATATCAATATCCATTGATCAGATCACTGGGTATCAAGGCGCATAAACTCGCCTCCTCCTCAGCCGCCAATCCACTCTCCTGCTGGGCCTAATGAACTGCCCCAGAGTGTCGGTGATAATTGCCTGGAATTTCGCCCCTCTTTCTTCCTCAGCAGGTCGTGGGAGTTTTTACAGACCCTTAAGGACCCCATTCCAGGGCATCCCATTCCCCCCCGACAGACAGACAGCTGTTGGGTGTTCGAGGAGCTCAAACACGTCTTATCGACATATATCGATAAAAGAATTAGCTAAATCGTGACTGCCACTTTGGACATGTCGCTGCCATTAATTATGGCTGATGACATGACGACACGACAGTATCCACAAAAAATCCGCATTCACATCCGCCTTTCATGGTGCTGATTTTATTAGCTGGCCCACTTTCGATTAAGTCCGTTGCCCAAGTCGTGCTCACCTAATTAAAATCGACTTTTTGTGCAATTAATGCGCCCGAAATCAAATTATCCGCTGCGGGTCCGCAAAGTTTTTCCAGCTCGTGGAAAACTTTGCCAGCGCAACAAGGAACATGTTTTCGATGAGTCTCTGGTTGTGTGTGTGTGGTTGGCGGAAAATGGGGGAAGTGGAAATCCGTGAGGTACTTTCCTCGACATCAATGAATTTCCTTTCTTTTGTTTGGTTTATTTCGAACCACCAGATTTCAGTGACATACATTAAAACCATAAATATTGTGGGTTATTATGAACTAGTTAGCTTTTTTAATTATCTAAGGTAGTTGAACCCCAAGAAAATAGTGCTGTAGTGACGGTTTTCGACGGAATCGGGAGTTCATCTTTGAGTATACGACAATGCTGAATGTTAGCATTATATGGTTTGTCGAGCCTCTCGGATTTGATTCAGTCGTTCAAAGCCTGCTTATCATCCAAACCAAATTCTTTGGGATCAAGGGCGATCGGGAGATCATCTTTACAAATGTAGTGATGGTCACCCGATCGCCGTTGACCCAAAGAAACTTGGGGTTGGATGAAAGCAGAACTTAAACGACCGAATCAAATCCGAGGGGCTCGACAAATCATATAATGCTAGCATTCAGCATCGTCGTATATTCATTCCATTGCTTGGGGGTGGAGATTTTGACTTCTGCTGATCTGCCATACAACTCAGAGGCCACTCCGCTTCCGACGGAATCAACCAAATATCCGATGACGACGGCAGATCGGAATCGTACAAATTCATATAGTTCATCCAAATGGGCGGTTTGGGTGGAAAGATGGGGTCATCTTCCCACTCTGATGCCATAGATCCAGGGTTCCCCCGCTTTCTGAAGTTCAAAACGACACCCTGCAGACATAACATGTCGGGCGAAGGTTCTAAGATCGGGTCACTGAAGTGGTTTTAATGAAATGGTTTAAATTATTTGCCCTATTTACTAAATATGGCTTACCAGGACGAAAGGAGTTAAGAGTTCTGGATCTTCTACAGGCATTAGGGTCCTAAAATGAAAGAAACCCAAGTAGGGAAAACATTCTAGCTGCTCAGCTTTATATGAAATTATATGTTCCGTCCTACCATTTAATAGACTTTAAATTCCTCTTGCGCTTCCTCTGGCCCTTCGTGGGCGTCATGTTCTTGTGGTCTATCTCGATTCGACAGATTAAAGAATTCGACTTTTGACGGCATAGAACTCATGCGAGAAAAAAAAAGGTAATACAGGACAAACTGCCGACAGCCTCAAACCAATTTTGTTAATATCAAATGTCTAACTGATTTGTCAGTCGAAAATTGTTTCACCAACTCCATCGGGTTGCTGCGTTAGCGATTATCATTCGATAAAACCTATCTGCTGAGAACCAGAGTTGTCACCATATTTCCTTAAAAAGCCATGGCAACTCTGTAACATTATAGTATCACCAGTAAGCAATATTTATTTGAAAATCAATTCAATAAGTATATTTTATTTTATATATGTATTAGATTTTACTTTAGAAAATTTGAAAACTGGTCAGTGGTTTAGGGTCGTTCTCTCAATACCCAGGTTACTCTTCCTTGTCATAAGTTTTTATTTAGTTTGGATGTTTACGTTAGTTTATCTATTACTACCTTAAGTGCAGTTCACTTCAACTTGTTGAATAATTATACCCATTATTTGTAGAGTGAGTAAAATAAATTACCAAGCTACTCAAAACAGTCGTTCTCTTAGCTGTACTTTAGCTAAACTAAGTTATGATTTACTTAATAAGTGAAAAAGTCCTTGCATGGTCAGTAGTACAGCTACCAACCGCCAGGTGCCACATCTCTCAGTTTTAAAACTATCGGGATGAAACTTTCCCAAAATTCATATATCCTTTCGGCTTGCCGAAGTTAGCTTTCTTTCTTGTTTTATTAAAAGTTCGCCCTGGAAATTAAGTCAATTAATACAAATAACTCAGTTGTACTCAACTAAAATAAAACTTGGCTTGTGATTTCAAGTATAATCAACCCAAAAAAAAACAAAATTCCATTTTATTTGCTTCCACTTGATGGGTCAAAGTCAAGCTGGGGGCATTAACCCAAAGTCGGGGCTCACAAATTGACACAAATAAAATGTTGAGTGGTCCTTCAGCCCCCGTTCACCCAACGCCCCTGGCCAACAGTTTATCATGTCCGCCAGGAATAATTCAACTTTACTTATTTCACACTTCAATTTTGTAGGTAAACAAAGTTCTGTTTTCGCGTTGTGAGATGGCCAACCAAAAAAAGGAAGAAAATAAATAAAAATACCCCACAAAATACCCTTGAGTGGTTTTCAGGAGGTGGCGAAGGCAAACAAATAAAAATGATGAGCGGCAATATTTGTGGCAAGTAGCTGGGTGAGAAATCCCTGCCCCAGAAATCCCTGGGGCATATTTTCGCCTTTGTTATTCCACAAAAAGTTTGACTCTTTCGATGGCCAAATTAAAGCACAAATTGTGGCCAAGTTGTGAAAAATACCAACTAGCCACTGGGGTAATTTTTGTGGCTCATAAGTGCCTCCGCATATCCCCAGTCGTGTGTCCTTGAGGAGCCCTATAAATATTATCATCATCATCATCATCGTTGAGTGCAAGCATTTGTTGTTGTTGTTGCTGTTGTCCTGGCCGTAACCTTTGACCCCCGCCCATCCCGTGCTCCCCCTGCCGTCTGTGCAAACTTTTCCCGGCCAGAACTTTATGGAGGGAAATTATCATCTGCCTTCCTTTGATATTAAAACCTTCCTTGGGATGCATAACTTTCGGGGAGCTGCACAACTTCCTTTTCGGACTTCTCTGAACGGTTCTCGCCGGTCTTGTAACATCGTCTCTGGGTATCCAATAAAATGCTTTAATGTTTTCTAACAACTGTATAGTATATTTAGCGTTTGGCATTTTTCATTTAATAAATCCGTAATGTCAACATAATTAAATGCCTCTAATAAACCTGAAAACAAACCATGTTTTTAATCCCTGTTACTATGCTATAATTATATCTTTAGGATGGGCATAGTCATCCACAATTTTGAACAGTTTATCGCCAACGGGATCTACTGATTTCAGCACCCTCAAGACATCCTATTCCCATATCGGTGGGTGCCTATATATTGTTCCCCTGTGACCTCTCCCCTTTTTCGATTCCCTCCCACATTCATACATATATCACACATTCCATTCAAATAAGCTAAGGCACAGCAGTATCAAAATGTCAGCACAGCAAAGGATATAGACAAGGGGGATTTATTTGGGGGGATAAAGGACATCGGGACAACTAACGTGGCAATAAAGTCCTCTACAATAAAACACACATACTTATTAGCACTTTTTATAGGTAGCAACGACGGCATTCGTCTGATTTGTAATTCTCAAGGCTCTAAAGTGGGTGGCGAACAGGGGTTAAACGGGGGTGTGAATCGCGGGGGTTGGCGGGGGGTTAAGGGCAGGACAAAAGGACAGCCCATATCCATATCCTAAGAAGAGGACGCGGCAGCTGTGCTCATAAAAATACACAGACGACGTTGGATTTTTAGAGTTGAACATAAAGAGAGTGTTTAGAAAAGTATAAAGAAGTTGGATGTACCCTGGAAAGTTTAGGAAAATATTGGAGGTAACTTACTAACCAATAAATAATAAAAAATTAAAAGAATTCTATTTTATTTTAATATTTATTTAAATATTATTTGTATTAAACATTGTCTAAATTTTCCATGAACTTTAATAAAACTTCTTATCCAGAAATAATTAAAAATTTGTGTAGGGTACACCATAGCACAGATAAGAAAAAAAGAAATATCCTGGAACGGGCTTGGGGAAAGTCCCCCTAGACATTTGGCATAGTTGGAGGCGAACTTTTGTCTAAAGCAGCTCGTAAAAATGCCCAAGTGAATAATAATCATCAGAAGTGGGCTTTCCCCGACACCTATCCCCCCGAAAACTTCCGCCCATGGGCGGGGTCACATGTGTAAGGACCTTTCTTTTTTCCTTTTCTTTCTGTTTTTTTTTTTTTGGTGATTCCGCTCTTGTAACATAGGAAAAACTAAACGAAACGAAAGTTTTATTGTCCGTACGGAAAAGACTGCGGACGGAGACTTAAGGACACGCCAAAAGGACAACTAGAAAGAAAAGAAATTCCTTTCGAAGTAGGAAATAATTAAGCGTAATTGAGTTAAGTTATTTCCGCCTGCAGTTGTCTTGGGAGATTTCTCCAGGAAAAATTCCAGGCCAAAAATGGCACTGCACTGCTTAAAGAAGTTCCATGAATTTTTGTTCAAGTGATTTATTCAAAAGCTGAAACGACAGCAGTTGTCTTTTTTCTGATAAATATTTTTATGAGAGGAAAACTTAACGTTTGGTAAAAACAATCTCAAGGTTAGAGGTGTGCGAAAATCGATTGTGAAAGGTTAGCAAATTTGAGATTATTGGGGGATAAGTGAATGGGTGGATTTTTTTGGGGATGATTGTTTTGGAAATATGGATTGCCTAGGGTCATAATAAAAGCTTATGGTATAATTGCATGCATCATATTTGATAAAATATTTGTGGTGTAAACTAGGATACAAATGTAAGTTACAAATAATTAAATACAAATATTATTATTTTTGCATTTTTTTATCATAAATATTTTATTAAAAAAAATTTGATACATTAAAGAGGATAAATATGAGTCAAATTTAAGTAATTGTTATTCTGTTTCAATTTTTGGTACTTGAATATTTTTATTACTGTACTTTCTATAGTTTTTCTTAGCATTTTCTTGTCAATTGTCATTGGGGTGAGTAGAAAATCATTGAAGCGGCTGTTTTGTATCGATTTCAGTTAATGCGATGCCGCAATTCTGTTTTTCAATCGCTATCGCCGCTGCAGTTTCCTTTTTTACTGCTCGCTTTTCCGCTTTCCCTTTGGCTGCAGCTGTCAAATTGTGTTTTGTGCAATAAGTAGCAAGCTTTTTCGGGGCAGGATGGTGGATTTTTAGGGGCCAACCGAGAAAACTTCTTTATTATACTCGTAGTTGCCCTCTGCGGTTCTCCATCTCTCTCTCTCTCTTTCCTTCAACATCGCCATCTCGCTCGCTCTGTGTCGCATTTTATTTAACTCAAATTGAAAGGGAATTCCCCACAACCCGCCTTTTTGTGCAATTTATTGTTTTTATGCGTTTGTCGTGCACTTTTTAAGTAGTTGGCATTCTAGGGGCATTATTAGATTTCCCAACACAAACTTTTCTGTTCGAAATGGTTCGTGCTGTTCGAGCTGATTGCCACCGCCCTCTGTTCTACATTTTTCGCAGGGAAAATGTTGAATATTTATTGTGAATATCTATATATTTGTTGAGTGGAGAAGAGGTTGAAGATCTAAGAAGATAATCGGGAAGGAGCTTTTCATTAATATTCCTGGTTATTCAATATATTTGTGTTGCTGGATTACTAATTGTAATATCTTTTATTTTATATTTTCCATTTTACTGGCTTTTTCTTGCTGTGTGCATTTGCACAGTTGCAATTTCAATTTCAATGGCACTTTAAAACGGGACAGCAACAACCAATTAAAGTAATTAGCCTCGCTTCGTTCGTTGCCACAAGTTGCAGCCTTGCAATGAGGTGACAACTGCCCTTTCACCCCCCTCACCGCGACCTCTGACCCCCGACCTCTGGCTGACTCCCTGAACCTTCTGCTCTGTGTGTTTGTCAAATACGTCAACGCTTGTCGACTGCTTGCTTCACTGCCGTCTCACATTGACAAGTTGGCTTTCGCACAGCATAAGTCATCACACAGACACACACGCAGATCGGGAAATGGGAAATGGGAAATGGGTGGGTGGAAAAGCGAGGGGGAGTGGATGTGGTGGCAAGTCCTAACAACGCTAACCAGCAAAGGCAAAAGCAGTCCAGTCAATCGAACCAACACCCAACTCACCGCTTACCACCGCCTAGCGACATGCAACTCGCCCATAGAACTGCGCATCTGAACACTTTCCATTCCAATTTAGCTTGAAAATAGCCTCGGTATATGAAAGAGTAATTTAACAAAACAAAACCAAGGGAATTTAAAAAATCTTTAGTGAATTGGAATCCTTTAAAAAGTCTCCATAAGGTATGCTATATATCTTATATATTTTTTTTACGTTTATAAATGTGGAAATTGTATTCTTAAGATTAGCACACTTCATTTAGCACTTCATCTAATCGGTTTTTACAATAATAATACAATAATAAGGCTAAGCGTTACTTAGGGCAAGAAG